GGTGGAGGAAGATAGCAATGATGTGGAGGTAGTGGTGGCAGCGGGTCAGGCAACAATGCTTGAGAGCCAGGACCTGCTCCTCATCTTGGAGATGGTCTCCCCTCCCAGGATATTTCCCAAGCTTCTGACGAACACGTGGAAGGCACTTTTGGTGAGTTCTCTAACTTCCCCTATTTACAAGGGGGTCAGGCAACAGGCTGCGAGGTGCTGTTCTCCTCAGCCTGGGGGCTGCACAAGGACTTGTTCATGTGAGTGCACGTAAAGCATCAGTCTGTAGCACTCAGCTCCATGAAGCTCTCACACAAGAACCTGGAAAGGCCTGCCTTACTTTGTCTTCTGTGGTAGGACACCTTCCCATGCCAAGCTACCACTAAGTAGGGATGTTAAGTAGCGATTAATTTGCTAGTCGAGTAGTCGATGGAATTTCCATCGACTACTCAACAAGCACTTCCATGTTCCGCCTTTGAAATGTACAAAAGCTCCAGCAGGCAAAAATTGAGACTCTTTTGCAGGGGACTCTTGTGCATTTCAAAGCGGAAGCACCGCATAGAGCCTGGAAGCTAGCGGGGAACTCAGGGTCTCCATGTGGCACTGCCACTTTGAAATGCCAGGTGGAGTCTGGGATCAGCTGGGAACTGACCCCGGGCTCCACGCAGCATGCCAGCTTTGAAACAGAATCAGTGGCAAAACTGTGCTAGGCTATAAGCTAATAACTTCCCCAAATACAGTTCTTGTTAATTTTGAGGATTTGCCTCATAATTTGATGAAAAGGAATATGTTGTAATTACTCTTAAATATTGGATTACCAGTTTTGCAAAAACGTTTAACGAATGTTTGCTGCTACTTACTAATGCTTTGCATTGCTTAAAAGGCAAACTTTAGAAATACAGAATCCCCAAATCAGATCTTGATAGGTGATGATTTCATCCTACTTTTAAATGTACCAAGCTCTAATTTTTAATTATTCTCATGCATTATGCTAACAATTTAAAATCTTAACCAGTGTTTTGTATGGTGTGTATTTATTTAAAAGCAATTTAGTTCATCTTTAAATGTTTATATAAATTGCTTCATGTGCATGGATTACTAGTTTCCTTTTTTAAGTTACTTTTTATACATTTTAAGCCAAAACTGATGTAACACAAACTGCTGCCAGATTACCCGTATTCAAAAGCACCCAGAAATTCCACACCCATCTTGCTAGGCACTTAAACTAGTATACAATTGAGGGAAGGCATGGAGGAAGAGGGAGGGAGATAAGAGATAAAAAACACTGTTACATAAAGCAAAATGCAGGACAATGTAGCACTTTAAAGACTAACAAGATGGTTTATTAGATGATGAGCTTTCGTGGGCCAGACCCACTTCCTCAGATCAAATAGTGGAAGAAAGTAGTCACAACCATATATACCAAAGGATACAATTTAAAAAAATGAACAAATATGAAAAGGACAAATCACATTGCAGAACAGAAGGGGAATGCGGGGGGGTGGGAAGGGGGAGGAAGGAAGGTAAGTGTCTGTGAATTGATGATATTAGAGGTAGGGAGAGTGGGATGTTTGTGAGTTAATGGTATTACAGGTGATAATTGGGGAAACTGTCTTGATAATGGGTGAGAAAGTTCAAAGACTTGTTAAGTCCCTGGTGGTAAGTGTCGAATTTTAACATGAATGACAGTTCAGAGGATTCCCTTTCAAGTGCAGATGTAAAAGGTCTTTGTAGCAGAATGCAGGTGGCTAAGTCATTTAGAGAGTGTCCTTTCTGGTTAAAGTGGCAAGAAACTGTTTTCTCTTTGTGATCTTGTCTGATATTGGGGTTTGGACAAACATCTCAGACACTTCGCCAAAGGATTAATGCCCACAAAACAGATATCAGACAAGATCACAAAGAAAAAACAGTTTCTTGCCATTTTAACCAGAAAGGACACTCTCTCAATGACTTAACCACCTGCATTCTGCTACAAAGACTTTTTACATCTGCACTTGAAAGGGAATCCTCTGAACTGTCATTCATGTTAAAATTCGACACTCTCCGGGAAGGAATGAACAAACACTCAAACTATCTTACCCATTACCAAGATAGCTTCCCCAATTATCACCTCTAATACCATTAGCTCACAGACATCCCACTCTCCCCACCTCTAATATCATCAATTCACAGACACTTACTTTCCTTCCTTCCCCCTCCTCCTGTATCCCCCTTCTGTTCTGAAATGTGATTTGTCCTTTTCATATGTGTTCATTTTTTTAAAATTGTATCCTTTGGTATATATGGTTGTGACTATTTTCTTCCACTATTTGATCTGAGGAAGTGGGTCTGGCCCACGAAAGCTCATCATCTAATAAACCATCTTGTTAGTCTTTAAAGTGCTACATTGTCCTGCATTTTGCTTCAGCTACCCCAGACTAACACGGCTACATTTCTATCACTATGTTACATAAACTGCCTTTATGCACTGCTTCCAAGCATTTGTTTTTAGGATATTGTGCTTTTTTCGTAATTATGTACAATAAAAATCAGTAATCTAGAGATGTAAATCATTAAGTTTTAAAAAAATATCATGGCTTATACCTGAAAAACTGTTTAATGCATCTTTGCTTCCATTTGTTTCTGCTACTGCACGTCTGAATTGCTCCAAAATGGCATTTAGCTCAGAGGAACGCTGCAGAGTTCTATGCTCAGCAATACGAAGACGTTCCTTCAAAGCATGAAATTCTCGTTGATAAGCAATCAGCTTCTCTAGTAGGAAGAAAAAAAAAGTCTGGTTATTTACTTTTGAAGACATTTCATCTGCTTTCCACTCCTCAAATACTGTACTTACATAAAACAATTTTGTTGCAAACTTTGGGCCTACAGTTTCTGAACAGGTAGAAAAATAATAGTTATTTTATGGAAGGCTGAACAACCTCCATCAAATTACTAAGTTACATGCAACATACTCCTGTTAACCCCAGTGTTTCTCAATGCTGAGGCCTTCAGAAGGAGGGGGGGGACCAAGGAGTATATAAACTCATCTTGATATCTACCTATTTTTACAACATGTGACAAAGGCACAAGCGAAGTCAGTACAAAGTAAAATTTCATGCAATCATCTGTTTGTATCACTTTATATACTGAAATGTAACTATAGTATTTATATTGATTTATTTTCTAATTATATGGTAAAATGAGAAGATAAGCAATTTTTCCCCAATAGTGTACTGTGACACTTTTGTATTTTCATGTCCCATTTTGAAAACAAGTACAGGTTGGACCTCCCTGGTTGAGCACCCTTGAGAACAGAGTCATCCCGGATCACAGAGTTTGCCGGACCAAGGGAGGTAAGTGCTTCCTTGCTGGCTGCCCCACTGCCAGCTCATCTCTCTGGGGTTCCCAAAGCTGGGGATCCCCATCTTGCTGCTGCCCCGCTAAACCTGGCCCAGCTGAGGCTCCCCACCTTGCTGCACCACTGTACCAGGCAGTTCCCAGGGATTCCCCAGCCAAAGCTGCCCAGCCACCACCAACCTACCTACCTCTGGGGGTTCCTCAGGGTTCCCCAACCCCAGGCCGCCTGGCTGCTGGCGACTCTGTTGTGGCATCCTGCACCCGCTGCCACTGGAGATTTCCCAGCTCATCTCTCTGGGGTTCATGCTGCCATCAGAGATTCCCCTACTGGAGCCGGACTCCCAGGCTGCTGCCTGACCCCACTGCTGCTTGGGATTTCACAGTCAGGGCTGCCCAACCATCCTAGCCCCGCCACAGGGAGGTCTCCAGGGTTCTCCGACTGCTGCCAGGGCTCTCCACCCACGCGACCCTGCTGGCACCAGGGGTTTCCCAGACAGGACAGAGGCTCCCCGATGCCACCTGGCCCCACTGACCCCAGGGTTCCCCTACCTAGCCACTGCTAGCCCAGCTGGGATTCCACAGACCCTAAGTTCTCCAGGCTGGCTCCCGCTCCTGGGGCTCTTTGGTCCAGCAACATCCATGACTTTGCCGGACCACGGATGTTGCTAGACCAGAGAGTCCTGGGTTTGGGAAGTTCAACCTGTAGTTTTTAAGTGAAATAAAAACAGCAGTACACAAGACAAATGAGACTCCTGAAAAGGATATAGTAGTCTGGAAAGGTTGAAAACCATTGATTTAGATGACATGGTAATTAAGAAGATACTTGTTGTAGTACAGTCTAATACCCCAAATGTTTGGGACCAAACTATCATATAAGCTTAATTTTCAGAGTGAAATAACACAGACCCTATTCATTATTTGCATCAGTTAGAGGAGTTAGTACAGCTGTAGCAGTCTCAGATTGGCAGCACTACTGATTTATATAAAAAAAAGATTGAAGACAGACATGCATTTGGAAAGTTTGCAAAAGATATATTTTTTTGAATAATCTGTATGAATGAATAAATGGAGTTTGGCAATATAGTTTGACTTTATTTAAAACTTTAGAACTACCTTGCCAGCAACAATCCCTCATGACTAAAGCTGTGGATTCCTACTAAAAATATTAGTACAGATTGAACCCCCCAAACCCGGGACTCTCTGGTTCAGGATGACTCAGGTCCCAAAGGTGCCAGACCAGGAAGGTCCAACCTGTAATCAAATGTGTTTCTAGGCAAATACACCTTCATCTTTTCTTTTTTTAAGGTAGAAAGAAAAGAGCTACAGTCAAAACAAAACCCTTTCGGTGATATCTTAAGTCAAGTCTACACTAAACTCAGCAGCTCAGCTTAAGATATCTAGAATATAGAGCTGGAGTCAGCTTACTTTAAACCGAGCTTGGCAGCATCCCCACAATGGGAAGTCGATAGAAGGAAATGCTCCCGTTGATTCTCCTTGCTCCCTGCAACAGGAGTACCACCAGACACCAGCAGGGGTGCCCTCTGAGTTTGATTTAGCAAGTTTCAACTAGACTCACTAAATCCATGGCTGAAAGATTGATTGCGGCAGTGACTATCTTCCTTTTAACGCACACAAGGGCTGCGTCTACAGTGGCATGATTTTGCGCAAATACTTTTAACGGAAAAATTTTTCCGTTAAAAGTATTTGCGCAAAATCATGCCACTGTAGACGCAGCCCTTGTGTGCGTTAAAAGGAAGATAGTCACTGCCGCAATCAATCTTTCAGCCATGGATTTAGTGAGTCTAGTTGAAACTTGCTAAATCAAACTCAGAGGGCACCCCTGCTGGTGTCTGGTGGTACTCCTGTTGCAGGGAGCAAGGAGAATCAACGGGAGCATTTCCTTCTATCGACTTCCCATTGTGGGGATGCTGCCAAGCTCGGTTTAAAGTAAGCTGACTCCAGCTCTATATTCTAGATATCTTAAGCTGAGCTGCTGAGTTTAGTGTAGACTTGACTTAAGATCCTTATGTCCTCTAGGACCTAACCACCCAAGAAGCATCTCCAGGTTCAATGACCCTTTCTCTCCCAATCTTCCCTTCACTGTTGCCCTCTTCACTTTGCCAGTCTATCAGCTCCCTGTTTTGAAGATCCATAACTGATCACATAACAGCTCCACCTCTCACCTCAATCCATTTCTTCCTTCTTCTCTAGTCAACTGCTGCTCCAACTATTTATCTGTAATTCAGGGGTGATCTCATATGCCAATTTCTGAAGAAGGTCATAACCCTAACCCTAAAATCTACTTAATTAAGTTTTGCAGGTAAAAATCTTGCTGTTAAAAAAGAGTAATACAGTACAAGTTCTTTTTTATCCGCATATTGCTCATCTTCCCTGGTTCATCAAAGATTGAGTTTATTTTTTGTCTTTCTAGTTTACTTATATTTTACATATCTTTTCTCTCTGTACTTAGGATGGATTATCCATTTAATATTTTGAAAACCTAATTAGTTAGAAATATCCTCTATTTAGAAAAGAACAGAACATAATTCTCAAGCCTCTTTGATACGCCTCAGTTTGTTTTGACAGAATAATACACAAAATGGTCTATTGCTTCCTGCCAGAAAACCCAGGCAGCTAATTGAAAAAAGAATTATTGCTTAGTTAGCTGTATCAAGATTCTCCATAAGGAAATACTTTTAGAGCAGGATTTGAATTGTATCTAGTAAGAGCGCCCTGGAGCCTCTTTCCAAATGTTGAAAAAAACTATTGAATAGCCAACTGCTCAGTAAGGGTATACAACCCATTCTGTGCACTGAATGAGGAAGAGGCCCTGTTTAAAACAAAAAACAAAACAAAAACACAGTAGCAGAACATGTAATTAAAAACGGTATCATACTGCATAATCAAAATAGGACTAAAATAAGATTGCACAGGCAACCTTGATTCTGGCATTTCCTAACTTTTGAGTATTTGACTTTCTAAGCTTAAAAATGTTATTTGAACATAGTTTTGTGCAGCTACTACATTAGATATACACACATTGTGGCATTTTTTTAAACAGCAATATATATATATATATATATAT